GGGTTGGGTTCAAGGCCAGGCTGGATGAGGCTTTGGGCAACCTGGGCTGGTGGGAGGTGTCCCTGCCCATGGCAGGGGGTGGGACTGGATGGTCTTGAAGATCCCTTCCAACCCAAACCATTCTATGGTTCTATGATTCTATGATCTTTGCAGGGAGCCTGTTGGTCTGGAGGTGGTGGCGAGGTCTGGTCTCTCCTCCACCCCTCACTGAAACGCTGCTGGGACTTGTCCCTTGACACCTTTCTGCTCTTTTTCAGGTGCCGCAGCTCTGGTGGTTTATTACACCCTGCTCCATCCCAAATCCACGGAGATCTGGCAGAGCTGCCTGGAGACAACCTGCAGTGCCATGCCTGCTGGCGATGATGAGGTGGCTGGAGACAGCTCCCAAGTGGGGCAGAGTTTGGGAATTTCGGGAGATGGAGAGTCCTCGGCAAGAGAAAGGACCACGGCAGATCCCAAAACCGGCAACAGCTCATCGCTCCTGCAGTTCAAAGGGTGTTTGGAGGATGGCTGGACAAACCATCACCACTGGCTGCTGGTGAAACTGGCCTTAAAGACAGGAGATCTGTCCATAATCAACGCAGCTTTTGGAGATGGTGGTGTGGGAGAGGTTTACCCTGGAGGATGGGTGATGGGGAAACCCACCGGCATTGAATGTGGGACGAAACTTTCCCTCCCCACATGGGAAACTGGTCCTCAGGGTGTTGGATCTGGTCCGACTGATGAGAAATTGCAAGTGGCAGGGAACGGAGGAGGTGGCAAACCCAACGCCGGTGTGGCAAGAACGGGACAGGAGGATAGAGCAGGGCAGGAGCCTGGTTTTCCAGCTGGATCCTTTCCCAGCAGTTTCTCCACGGATCCAGCTGAAGGCTCCTCTGTGTATTTCAGCGTGAGAAGCATCGCCTCTCCCAGCGTGGGGACACCCACAGCCCCGTTGCAAAGGGATGGCGAAGCCCAACCTCCCCCAGGCTGCCTGGGAGGAGGAGGAGGAGGAGGAGGGGATTCATCCCTTGGGATGGTGAACATCAGCCCCATCCTGGGTTCTTGTGCCCACAAACATCTGCAGAGCAGCTCTTCCCTCTGCAGCACTAGTGGCTGTGGGGTGGGGGGTCCCCCCAAAGAGGTCTCGGAGCCTGTGGAGGTGGAAGGTGCCCTTGGGGGGTGGCATCACCTTCGGGACACCCACCTTGGTGATACACAAGGAAGTGGCGTGAGGAGCAAGCTGAGGCCACCATGCTTCACCTCCACCCCCAAGGCTGACTCTAAATGTTCCCAGTGAGGACTGGGGGAGCTGGGAGAGGGGACAGACCTGTCTGGGTTGCTGGAGTGACCCTGAAATTGCTGCATCGTCACTTTGGGTCAGCATGGGGGTGACTGCCTTGCTGGTAGGATTGGGCAGGAGGTGGTGGGATGTTAATGCTGGCCGTGAAGACTGTCCCCATGGTGCCCCAGCTGCTGGGCAGATGTGGTCCTCCATCGCTGGGACATCACCTTTCCTCCCACTGCATCTTCTCCTTGCAGTTTTGGAGAGCTTCAAAGTTCTTAAAAAGCCTTAAAAGTCCAGTTTTAGGTATTTATTAAATTTATGTAACAGTCCTGCTAGGCAGCTGGAGCACGCTGCCTTGGAGATATTTGTGACGATGTCTTGAAGTGTGACCTTTGACAAGTGCCTACATGACCCTGTCCCAGCACGGAGATCTGGCTGCCGTCTCCAGGGGATGCGTCGCTGGCCAAAGCAGAAGTCCTCTCAGAACAAATCAGTGCCTAAACCAGAAAAATGCTGAGTTTTGCTCTCAGATGTCCTTCCTTCTGGCAGAATAAGTCCTAAAGTAAGGCTCAGCAGTGCTTGATTTATTTTTGCCCCATTAGGTTCATCTGGAGAGCTTTGCCAGCTCCAGTTGATGGGGCTGTAGGATCGCAGATCCTCTTCGTACTGCAGACCAGAACCTCAGGACCCTGAGCTGTAGACAAAAGCCATGTCCTGCTTGCTAGCCCACCACCCTGCTTCCTCAAGAGCCCTTTTCTGCCCAGGCTCTGCCTTGCCCCCATCCACCCAGCTGCAGATATGGCTGGACGTGGGTTTGTGCCCAGGACATGTCGGTCTGGTTGGCAGGGTTGACCAGTAAGCCCATGGGTGCTAGCTGGTGCACATCTGGCGGCATCCTACAGCTGTTGTCCTGCTGCAGGCAGAACTCGATGATGCCATGGGGCAGGAAAGGCAGCAGGAAAGACAGGCATGCCATGAATTATTTCAAAAAGTTCTTTTGAAAACCTAGTCTGGTGTTTCTTCGAGCTGATCTGGGCACTGCAAACCCAGTTGGTGCCGGTTTTGGAGTGAAGCCACTTTCCAACGTGGTAAAAGCTCCGTGTCTCCATTCAGACCCTGTCACACAAGGCAGCAGAGCTGCCGTGGCATTATGGAAATTTTTATCTAGTTTGTTTTTTTACCTTTGATAATGTATAATGATGCTTTAAAAAACAAAGCAGCCTTGGCTGTGTCTGTGTCTCATGTTGGGGGTGCACAGAAGCATGGAGAGGTCCTCTCCGGACCTTGCTGGAGGGGATGGTGGACCTTGATCTCCTCCTGCTTTGTGATGGAACCACTGTGTGGCTTCCTGGCTGGATGTGGCATCGCCTCCTTCCCTCATCTTTGCAACTCCATTTTCCTGTTTTCTTCACTTTTCTACCCCTTCCAGTTCTCCCCATCGAAGCTGTTTAATTGAGCAAGTTTTCTTCCCCTTTCTCCACCTGGAGGGTGTGCAAAGGTAGGACCCAGACTGGAATGGGCATGGGACTCCACATCTCCTTTCTTTGCTCTTTGCCTGTTGGGATTTTGAAGAAGTGTCTGCATCCAGCATCCTTCTAGCTGGGGCTACCCCAGTCTGGGGGACCTGAGCACCACGATGTGGCGTGCAGACAGCAGTGGATTGGGTCAGTTTGGTTGCTGTGGGCTCGTAGCAGCTCAGGAGGAGCGGAGATGGAAACTGTGATGTTGGCAGCCCTTTGGGGTGGGGATACAGATGTCTTGTAGCCAAATTTCTGTGCCAGACAGAAGATGCTGGGTGGAAGGATGTCCTCCCTGCCCCATTCCCTCTTGCCAGGGTGGGAAACCAGGTCCACTGGGGAGGTGGCTGGTGGCCATGGACTTCCCATGGCTTTGCTCCCTTGATGATGGGAGATGGTCACTGATGAGATCCCACCATGCTCCCCCTCACTTTCTGCTTGTGAGCAACGTGAAATCAGGAGAAATAATGTGGATTATCTGTCCTGAAGGACTTCCAGCCTGTGTGAGAGCCCTATTCCACCCAGGGTCCAAGTCCTGCGAGCTGGATACAAACCCAGCACTGAACCACAGATCTCCACCTATAGAAATTATATTTTAACTAAATGAAAACTAAATTATATTTCATAGAATTACAGAATCATAGAATGGTTTGGGTTGGAAGGGACCTTAAAGCCCATCCAGTCC